TACTGAAAATAATTTAGCTTTATTTTATTATGGAAGGAAGGCTCTGGTTTGATTTTTAGGGCTGTCATAAAGCAAAGACGACCTTTTTAGGAGCACTGATGTCATAAGAGCTTAGCCCCCGAATGCTCATGCAGAAGTGCTTCCCCTGGCCTCCCCTGATGCTGAAATGGCCCAGGGGTGCCTGGCTGGCTTTAAAAAGCATTTCCCAGCTGCTGGCGAGGCTGGGGCTGGTGCTGCAGCCAGGTGTGGGCAGATTGCAGATTCATCCCCATCTCATTGGCATTCCTCACGTGGCACTGCTGCCTTGAGACAACACCACAGGCTGAACTTTCCGTGCTCCTCGCAGGAGGTGAGCCTTGTCCTGGCTAATTCACACTCTGCTTTGTGCTGCTGGAGCACGGGCTGCCTTCTGGACCCCACTGCCTTAATGAAAACCCAGCAATTTGTGGCATTTGCTGGATCTCTGATCAGATGTCCTGCCTAGCTGAATTACTGCTGCAACCAACAATGAATTTAAAGCACCAACTTAAAGCTTATGAGCTCAAGTAGCCTCACATGGTTCATGCAAAAATTAGAATCAGTGAAATGAAAATATATAAACCCAGACCTCTTCCCCTGAGTGGCTGTTATTAAGCAGAGATTTATAGCCAAAGCCCCATCGTGTTGAGGCTGGATGCACTTTTCAACTAACAAATATTTCAGCCATTAAGTGATATACTTTACAACCTATGGAAAGATTGCTGTAATGTGCTGGTAATATATATTTCATTGGAAAAGAATAAATTCCTTTTTGACAGAAGTTTTAAATTCTAAACTGCTGCAATAAAACTTTGAGTACTGGCATCTCCTGTTTATTGATAAAGATGGTATGGTTATTAATATTTTCTATAAAATAATGAGAATCTCATTGCTTGGGAAACTTTCCAAACAAAGTCGAATCTAAATTATGTAACACCAACTTGAAATTGGCACACAGTCTTTTCTATATGATAGGGGACAATTAAATCAGAGATAATAGAAGGAATAAAATAATCCAAGCACAAATCACTAGAGAAATTACTGAAGAAATGTAGCATACCAAAACAGGTGAGAATGAGCAAATAAATATTATAACTTCAATTAAAAAATAGAGTATTTAATGGACTGGAAAGGGATGTGGGAATTAACACTAGCTGATATATTTCAAACCACTGAATTAAATCCCTAATATCTGTTTGTGTTGCTATATTTTAATATCTGTGGTTGCCTGAAAGTCATCTTCTAGCAAACAACCCCCCTCAAAAAGATAGATATTTGTCAGTAAGACTACAAAAGTGCTATTTACTGCCACCAGAATCTAATTGGAACCATTTTGTGCTGCCACACACATCAGGCAGGAAGAACACTTTCAGAACAGCAATATTGGTTAAAAATCCTGCCCTGTGGGGGGAACAGAGCTGCTGCACCACAGGGCTTGGCATGGAGAGGGATGAACAGACCTGGAAACATTCAGATTTTTCCAGCAGAAGCTGCAGCTCGTGATGGAGGTGTTGGAAGAGCTGCTGGAGAGCCTGGCTGAGGCTGTGAGGGGTCTCTGATAACTCCAGGGGGGTCTCTGATAACTCCAGGGGGGTCTCTGATAACACCAGGGGGGTCTCTGATAATTCCAGGGGGGTCTCTGATAACTCCAGGGGGGTCTCTGATAACTCCAGGGGGGTCTCTGATAACTCCAGGGGTCTGTGGTGGCCCTGCTGCTGGCAGGGATCTCTGCAGAGTGCTTGTGGAGCACTGACTCTCTGAGCAGGCAGCTTTCCCTTGAAATTACTTCAACTATGGTAAAATACCTTCTCATCTAAACAAAAAAAAATATATAAAAATCCACAGGAGCATTTGACTAGCAGGGGGATTTAACTCCACAGCAAATTGATGGAAAATATTCACTGGTGAACATCAAGCACTCACAGGTGGAGAAGGATATTTGTTTTGTCTCATTTATTCCGATTGCTAAAATATTCCCCAGGTGCACATCCTATGCTCTGGGTGGCTTTTCCAATGCTTAAAGTGAAAACACACAGCAATACAACAGAAATGACTGTACCTCTCCTCTTTGGGGTATTGCAGAACAATGTTCATTTTCCCCCTGAGAACATAATGCTGAGCCCAGTGGAGAGAAACAACAAACTCTGGGAGTTGCTGAATTCCATCATGTGGACTTAAATTCCACATTTCAAATACATTTTGTAGCTAGTATGGTGATATTTTATGGTTCTAAATACTGCTTTTCTTTACAAGAGCCAAAGTTACCTTCAAACACTAATGAAATTGCCATGAAACTATTATTTTTTCAGTGTCTCCATATATTGCACACCACTGAAAAACTGAAGTTCTTTTTTCTCTAATTTCTGAGTGTCTTCCAGCCCTTACTGACTGATTTTGTATGTCCAGTCTGCAGAAGCAATTAGCACTGGTTTAAGAGCATAATGTGGGGATGAGGAATTTTGGTATTATTTGGATGCCTCTTCCTCTCTAAGGCACCTGGTCCATAGGAGGAGAACAAACTTACACAAAAAGAAAACAAGATCATTTGAGATCATTTGGAACCACACTTGCTCTTGTTGCATTTTTTAGAATAAAAACATAAAAATTCATCACCTCTCACCAGGGAAAGCCTTTGTAGCACATCACCTTTCCTTAGGTTAAGGTTAGATTTATACTGACCAGCAAGCCTGGAAAATATATGTTACCTCGTGCACTCAGCACACTTCACTTTATACTGATATGTACCATTTTTTGCTCTTTTATTTTTCTTTTATGTCTTGCTAGCTGATCTCAAGCAGTGTATTGTTGTGCTGCTTTTTTTTGTGCATTTTAACTTGTCTTGAAAAATAACCAGCAGTTGAGTGCAACTAAAATATTCACTTCCCAAAGCTTGACCAAATTACATTGCACATTCAATTTCTTCTACCTTCCAGAACAAGCAAATTAAATGTGATGTGTTGTAAGAGGAATAAGCTCAGCACTTCTATAAACTTCAATATTTTTCTGTTACCAAACCACCAAGTTGTTAATTAGAGAATGATGGAATCATAGGGACTGGAGCAGTGTAGAGAAACTCAGCTATTTGTACATGACCTGGAATTAAAACAGCAGCAGGAAAAAGGAGCTGGAGGGGAAGGACATGGTTCACACTTACTTTTATATATATATTATAATATAATATAATATAATATAATATAATATAATATAATATAATATAATATAATATAATATAATATAATATAATATAATATAATATAATATAATATAATTTGCATTAATTTTATTATGCTATACTATATTAATTTATATTGCATTATATATTATGGTAATCTATATATTTATTATATTAATTTATATTATCTTATATTCATTTAATTCATATTTATATTATATTATATTATATTATATTATATTACATTACATTATATTACATTACATTACGTTACATTACATTATATTATATTAATCATATATACATAATTGAAAAATCCCCAACACTAAGTATTTTTATTTTGGAGTATGGAAAATAATTTGCTTCATTATTTAACTCATTGCTGATAGAATGATTTTTGAGAGTCCTGACACCTGTGAGTGAAGGGCATGGGATGAGTTTCCAAACTGGATTTCAGCTCCTGTGATTGGAATACAACTGTTCAGACACCTGAAATCTCCCCACCTGGCCAGAAATGCTGAGCAGTTAAAAGATATATTAAAGGAGTTCTGTTCTGGAGGTACCTCCCTACCTCAGGCACAACTTTGACCCCCATTTCTGGATTATCAAAGCACATCCCAATCTCTGGGCTTCATCTCGACACCCCCTGCCAGGGTTTGCTGTTATCTCTGCACTCACACTGACACTTTATGTTTCAAGGAAGTACAAAATCAAACTGATTCAAATGTAATAGTTTCCCTTTGGCCTTGGAGGCCCAAGGCAGCTCATTCTAAACATGGTTTCAATCATGTTTCACAGATTAAATGAATTATTCAGGTCTTTAAATCGACATTTTGCAGAAGATTTTGCTCAGCTTGAAGATCAAGTTATAAAAAGTCATCATTTCTCTAAACTGCCTCTTAATGGTGGTTTTGATTAAAAAGTCATGTAGGAAGTACACACCTTTTTAAATACCTGGTAGTTTTACAATGACTAAACCTGTTTTTCTTGTGTTCTTCAGGGGAAAAGACCATCAGCAGTTCAAAGAAGGACAAGGTGTAATTATAATTGAAAGGAGAAGCCAGACTTGTACATCTGATGGCAAAATAGAAGTTGCAGGAAGGATTTCCTATTCCCAGGTTTTCATGACTCTCTTATGGATTCATTTCATCCAGAGGCTGAACACACATTATGTACAGTTCAACATTTTCAAGTTGATAAACTTGAAAAAAATCCAATATTTTAGAGCAGAAAAGAAAGAAGAGCAGAGGAGAAAAGAGAGCTGATTAAAGAGTTAAATTCCAGTCAGTGATATTTAATTGCTTTTGTTTTGCTTTCCAAACAAACCATTGTTTACAGTTTACCTTTTCATTGTGCTAGATGAAAAGGGAAGGAAGTATGAAGAATTAATTGTGGTATCCAAGATGGGAATGTTTGGAGACAGCAATTCTTCAAAAAGGCACTGGCATGAGCACAGATTTTTTTTTTTTCCACCAGAATAAATGTACTTTCAGTGGGGTAAACCAAAAACCAGGGTGTAAAATGCCAGAGAAGTTGGAAAAAAAATCAGCTGGAAATGTAAACTCTTCAATATTAACAGTGGTTGCTATATTACCCTTTTCAGGCTGAAGACTGAGTGTTTTCCTCAGGGGAAGGAAGGGCTGACTTTGGCTGTCCCTTGTCCTACACATGGATTTCTCAGCTGAGCCAGGACAACAGTATTGGGACAATTGGATCAGGGAGGTGACAAAGTCAGTATATTATTATTATATAATTATATATATTATATAATATATTATTATTATATATTATATATTATATATTCCTCCAGTTGCCCTTTTCCCTTTGCTACCCAGCCTCCTTGTGTGCACTCAGAATCAGGTTTAATCAGCAAAGGGACAGAAGATACCCAGGAGAGTGGCTGGGCATCACCAGGAGGAGCTTCTAACACTGGGCACATCTTTCAAACTTGAATATTTTCTGTTCTGTCACCCTCTGGGAGGGCCCTTTGCATCCCAGGAACAGCACCACATCCAGCTGTGTGTCGTGGCCTTTGTTTTGCTCCCAAGGAGGGTTTCAGTCCCCAGTTTTCCTGCATCAATCAGCTGGCTGGGGGCTTCAGCAGGAGTTTGAAACATCTTCACTTGGAAGGATCTTTTTACTGACAGCTGAGCAACAACCTGCCAGCTCACAATCTCACTCTCCTGCTCCGTGTTTAGCTGCTGGTAGGAAAAAAGGAAGAAGAAAACATAAATATTTAATCAACATTTTCAGTTGTTAAATATGGTTCCAGGGAAAGCTCTGATTCACTCTCTTACTAAAATGAAACTGCTGGGGTAATTCTCTATCTGCAAAGCTCGTGATGGGGCATGTCCCAAGCAGCACCAGGCGAGCACTGCTTCTGCTCGTTTCCCACTTCACAGGAAGGGTTAGAATTGCTGCTTGCTCTAAGTGTCTGTTCACACCACTCAGTTTGTCACATCCTGCTTTTCTGTGTTCTACCTACAAAATGCCCCAAGATACAATTTTGAGAGTGTAGTTTGAAAATATTGGTGGAGAAAACACCAACTAAACTATTTAATGTTACTCCTGTTTCTTTCTTCTAGCTCTGTTTATGTTGTTACCACTTATCCAAAGAGGCAATTAAAGCAGTTGTTTCAAATTATAGTCACAAATGCGACTTCTTTTTAGGCAGTGACTTTATTAAACTGTCAATCCTGATTATTATTAAGCAAACTATTCATTTTGTGTGTTTGTTGCTGCTCATGTTCTCCATCCCTGCTCCCCAAAGGAACTGGGATTCTGCTGCTGCTCTGAGTGGAAAGTTCTCAGATGTGAGGCCATCCAAAAATTGACACTAACAGTGAAATGATGATATGGATATCACACAAATATTAGGATTCAGGAGCATTTTCATAGACACACAGCTTTTATCTGAGCACTCCTGAAGAACACAGGAGTGTCATTTGCAGCAGCCTAAACTCTGTGCATTGCTCATGCAGGGAATTCATGTCAATCCTCTGGATCTTTCAAATCCCAGAGCAGTTCTGCCCAGTTCTTTGTGCTGAAACCCTGCATTGGAGCCTGCTGGACAAAACATTTGGGATCCTTTTCGCTACTGCACTGCAACGGAATCACAAAGAGTGTTTGAGCAATCTCATTTTGCATTTAATTTTTAATGGCTTAGTTTTTTAGTGATAATTAAAATTAAGAAAAGATAACAAAACACAAAAAGTTTCTCCACCTGAATAAATCTGGAAATTAGAAATATTTCCTTTAAAGATCCTGGGGTTTTTTTTGGAAGAAGTTTGCATTATTGTTCCCCACATGGCTGTAAGACAAGGTTATTAAAAAGTGCTCATTCAGACGAGATGTTTTGCACCCAACTGCTTACAATCAGTTAGTTGACTATGAAACTGCCCAATTTCTGTGTGTAATCAAAGTAACTGTGTACACATTTGGCATGTAATTACGTTTCTAAATTGATTAAAATCCAGCCCTGAAACGATTGCGAGCGAAGGCTTGGCTCCAATGATTAGTTCTTAAAACTTCTTTCACAAGCTTGAGCAAATAACACATTTGCCAAAAAATGCTGCCAAGTGTGAAAGTTAATTATGATAAATGTAACACAGTTCTCTCATCACCAGTGTACAGAGAAAGGCTTTTGCCTCTCCTCACTTTATTGTCCAGCAAGACAAAGATGGTGCTTTGGGATTTTTTCCCTTTAACAAGGACAGATATGCCATGAGTGACAGTTAAATTTGTTGGAGGTATTAAATTGCTAATGCTAATGCATTTTACAATCTTCTGAACTGATTTAATATATTAGACTGTCACTCAAAGTCTTAATAAACAATTCCACACTCTTAGTTTAAAATCATCCTGTCAGACCTGGAGGTTTTCTCAATTGGCCTCCATTGTTAACGTGATAGAAGTTTACAAACAAATGACTTTTTTCTTCATAGGTTGGTTCATATGAAACTTTAATGGGTGTTTCTCTTGTTTCTCTTTTTTATTTATTACAAAACAGCTGTGCCAGAGCTTAATGGGGTGGATTTGTGCTTTAAAAGCACCTGTGCTTGTAGCTAAACTACTCCCTCTCCTGAAGATAATCTCTCACTTATTCATATTTGAATAGATCTTTCTTCTCATTTTAGAGTATTGCAAACTCAGCCTTGTGCAACTCAATATACTTTTGAAGAATGATTTCATTGTGTTTATCCTAATATTGTGTAATTCCTCCATGGAATGCCACTTATGCTTCAGAGACCCATCAGGAGCTCAACAAGTATCAAAGTTTCATGTTTGCAGATGTGAAAAACACAGGTATTCATTACAGTTAATAGACTGTCAGAGGAAAGTCATTACAGATGAAATACTTTCCCTAATTTTGTAGAAAAAAAAAATAAGACAAATGATGAATTCATTTTGCTGAAGGTGATTTATGGAGAAAACAATGTTGATATTTTTGATTTTGAGGCTCTCAAGTATGGGACCAGCACTGGCATCAAAGGGTTTGGATTACTGTTTGGATAATTATTCAGATTTTGATAGTTTTGCTGTCTGAGTGTTAAATCAATATATCAGATTGCTGCCAAAGAAAAACTTGCAGAGAATTCTACCTCAAACTGGTATTAATAAAACCTCCTTCTGTTTTGTTTGTTTTGCCTTATCTGTGTGATGATGGTAGATTTCTTCTGTGAATAGATGCATAAATTATTTGTAGTAGGATCTAAAATCACAGCAACAAATACAAATTTTTCTGACAGCTCATTCCATAATGTGCTGCTACTCATTTAAGAAAGCTTCATCTCCTACCCTCACAATTTTCATTATAGACTTTCTTAACTTAGTTATCCTGAGAGAATTCCCTAAGGCATTCTCTCTTTTTCACAGCTAGCTTTCGGGATTTGGACTAAGATTGTGAGTGGATCCTAGAAGAAGCAGAACCAGTCAAGACCAGCAAGTTTAATGAAATACCAGTAGCTCAGCCACCTGAGAATGCGGGCTTTTATTTGATGGACATAATCAAACCTCCATTTTGCTAATACATGTAATTAACCCAGTTGTCCACATTGTGAAATTACCTGGAAATTATCAGGTCACTTATTCAGAGGACTAAAACTATAATATTTAAACTGAGTTTCCACCTTGCCAGGAATCCTTTAGTTTACCAGAGCTTGTCCTTGACCTCTGTCCCAAAGCCTGTCTTGCAAGGTTTCTGATGCTGGCAGAAAACAGCTTGTCTTTGTTCAGTGAATCTCTATTTTTTATGTTAATGTTTACTTGCTTACAAATCCAGTAAAACCAAGAATAAGAGTATTAAACAGCAGAAAAATTGAGGATATTGAGCTGATTCAATCTTTTTTGGGGATAATTCTATATCATGGTATGTGCAATGCAATATTCCTACTTGTTTATTTTTCTCTATATTCAGATCATCATGGCTATAATATATATATGAAATATTTGGATCCTTAAGTCAATGGGCACTGAAAATTGATGGCTGGCTTTTCTAATTTGTGGTAGAGAGTCAGCATTACTGGAGCTGCATCAGACTCTGCCAGCTGAGGATCTGTCTTTGTCTATTTGTACACTGAGCAAGCGTCTCCCAAAAATGAACTGAAAACTTAAATCCAACGTGGAACTAGATCCTTAGCAAATATGAATATGCCATAGCTGGCCTTTTTCAGAATTGCAAACATCAAATAAATAAAGTACTTTTTGAAGGTTCTGATTTGTTTTTTCTTTCTTACATGAACATTTCTGAACCTGTCACACCGACTTCTGAGCTGCCACATCTGGCTGAATCAGGCACATCATTTTATATTAACCTTATGAAGCAACACAGAGCATTGCTGATGTTACTAGACGAGATTTTTGTAAATAATGTGGTTTTGGGTTTGGTGGGATTTTTACAAAGGGCACAGTCCCCCTTCTAGTTATCATCAGTTCTGGGTTTTTTCTGAGGTATGCCATGAGCAGTGAAGATTCTGACCCCTGGTAGTGGGAAACTGTGTGATCCTGGGTGCAGGGTTAGGTGGTCTGGAAAAGCAGGTGTTTGTTGTCTCTGATATTTGTTGACCACCCAACACACACAGAAATATTTTCATGTGATTGGATAGCTATCATCCAGCCTATTTGCTCCAGATGAGGATTTAGGGAGTTAGTTTCTGCTGGACAAAGCATCCTTCACCTCCAACCATTCCAGTAGGAAGGTTTTCTTTGAAAAACTGGCCTGGTTTAATCAGGACTGATTTTTGCCTTTACCACCACAGACTCAGTTTCAGAGATCTGAGAAGCTGTAGGAGATTCTAACCCCTGTCTGTCATCCCTGGAATTAGATCTGGTTCTCCTGGTCCTGCACCTGCACCTGGAGCACTGCAGTGAGCAGAGATCAGTTCTTATTCCTGACCTTGCTCCAATGCAAGCTGACACTTCCTAAGCCTTGCTAGGAAGTGCAGGGGACCTTACATGCTGTAGAGATTAAGATAATTTCATGCTAAAAGATGAAATGCCATAAATCTACTTTAGAAAACTCATGAACTTCATGGCAAGAAAGTGTTTTTTATGAAAAAGGTATTTATCTAATGAATATTATTCCAGGAGCAGTTACAGAAAAGACAGTGACAGGCACAAATGTAAGAAATGGGCAGAAGCTGGCTGAGACAGAATAGAAAAATTCAATCAAGATAATACCTCTCTATTTTTAATGCTGGATTCCATTGTCCTGGTTCCCATTTTCTTCATTTCAGCATTACAAATCCAGAGAATTTTGGTTTTAAAAAGAGGATGCCAAGTATTTCTTCTGTTAGATTTGCAATTCTATGAACCCCACACAGGGCCTGTAGTAATAAAAGATAACAATTATGAACTGGTATAATTCTCATTCCATGGCTGAGCTTGCATAAATGTCAAGCTGTAACAGCACTGGCCTGCCATTCGTGTGGGAGCTCCGCACACGACGGCTTTGCTGGGACAGGAGCCGGAACAGCTTCCTGGCCTCATTCCTTGTGGGAAGCATCCTGCAGCCTCACTCCGTGCAGAAATCCCAGGGAAGCCGTGGGGCAGGAGCAGAATTTGCCCTGGTGCCCAGCTGAGCAGGTTTGTTTTCATTTCCATGTTTACAATCTCTGTTCCGTGGGTGTCGCGCTGCCCCAAACCCGCAATGCGACGGCAATCGTTTCTATTTCCTCTTGAAACAATCGTTTAGCAGTCATTTTTCCCCCTGTGTGTGTGTTTTTAGGGAGTCCCTCGGCCACATTACAAATCAAAACTCAGAGTCAGCGCTTTCCTACAGCATTTAAAGCCTCTGGTACCCGTAAACCTTTATGAAGTGGCAAAACTGGGCTCTCCTTGCAGCCTTTGCAGGCAGCTGAAAATAACAACACACCTTTCCACAGAGAAGTCTTTTTTTGCACAAAATCATCACTAAATTCACTAGAAATTATGGTTGGCAGTTGAGTGGACTTTTCTGGTTTTAAACGTGACAATTTTTGTTTTGTTTTTTTCCTTTAAAGAAAGTGGATACTAAAAATTACATATAGCAGTTCTTCACATGCATTCCATGTGAAATCTTAAAATACAGTCTTTGAAAATCTCACTAGTAAGTGTTAAGGGAAAGGGATTTATCCCATATCTTTCTTTCACTGAAGACTAACCCATATATTATTATTATTTTTGATTGAATCAGTAGTTAATGAGAAATATTTGCAGACAGCACACAGCAAATCAATATCTTTGTTTCTCCTGCTAATCTTCACTCTACAGATAATCAGCCTTTGGAGGACTGAGAATTTGAGACTATTAGAAGATAAGGATGAAGCACTGACAGCTCACTCATTTCCTCAGGCAAAAATATGTTAGGTCATTTTTTTGCATGTGAAATACGATAGGGATATATCATCAACATTTGATAAATAGAGAGGCTTTTAAAAATTGCATCTGAAATACTTGACATTCAGCACGTTTTTTGAAAATGATAAAATCATAATTGTAAAAAAGACCCGCAGTATTGCCAATCAGAGGCTGGCTGTTCTGAGCACCCTGGCACATATATCTTAGTGTCCCCCTGCAGAAGGAGGAATGAGCATAAAGAAAAGAGCAATTTTCCTGCCGTAAATTGGAAAGTCTGCCAAGCAGCTATGTGATCTACCATCAATCAGTGTTAAATTCTCCTTAGCTGCAGAAAACTCAAGAACTAACTATCACTGAGAGATTTCACACGGTGACTAATGGTATATGACAAACACATTTAAAATCTGCATAGACCAGCATCAGTTTAAAATATAACATGAATAATAAACAATCCTAAAGATATCCCGGTGAGCAAAATAAGACATAATCTCCTCAGACACATATTGTACATGGGAGATTACCATTCTAGGAGTGCACTCAGTATCAGTACAGCAGCGAGCCATGCACACAATGGGACTTTATTTGGAATAGCATCTCTCCTGCAGTACGTGAGGCTGCTCGGCAGGACGGGGAGGCTGTGGGATAAAGGGGAGATTTCAGCTGAGTGAAACACTCACTGAATCCACAATTACCCTGCCCACACGAGGAGCCCCATTAAGTAATAGTGAAACTCTTGAGGTGAGGAAGGTCTTCTCCTCCACCATGTCATTACTGAAGCCACAGCTAATGCATCTGTTCCAGATGGCAAGTGTTCAGAGGAATGGGAGACAGTGCTGTCTTAGCATACTGAGCTGGTTATTTCTTACTGCAAGGATTCCGCTCATTCCTGTTTAGTTTCCCATCAAAAACATATTATTTAGCTGCATAGTGTGGAAAAATATTTATAAGAAAGGAATATATTAGCTATGAAAACTGCCTGCATTTCTAACTGAAGAACAGTTCATAAAACTGGAGACATTTGTACTAGACTTGCATTTTCAAATAATCATGCATTTTAATTTATTTCAATTCCAGATTAATATTTTTTTATTTAGAACATTAAGTCAATCATTTTGACAATTGCTTTTATGGAAACTATGGTGTTTTGGGGTTTTTAATTTCTTTCTGGCAAGAACAGGTTGCCAGAGAAATTAATGGGAGCATAGTTTTTTATTTTATTTGGACTAGGGTCTGTATTTTGGGCTTGGTCAAGCTAGGCAGGAGCCACAACCACTTAGGGCAGAGGCATCTTCCCTTTGACAATCTGAAAGGAACAGAAATTGGAGAAGTCAGAGCACCCAGGGCAAGGTGTGTGATCCTGAGAGCACAGGTTCTATATCATTATAAAATCTATTTCATTTTATATTAATATATATTATATATATATAATATATATATATAATACAATTAGGTCCTAATAATTACCAAAATGAGATGGCAAACCCTGAATAAATGTAATGATACCAAATAGCTTCAGGCTGAAGGACAGCTTCAGCCTGGCTTCAGCCCGTCCCAGCAGGAATAAAAGAACCTAGAGGGAAGTATAACAGAATATTTTAAATGTGGTTAGGTGCAGTGTTTGTAAGCTGTGCTGTGATCTCTCAAATATTAACCTGTCACTATGTCTCCTCATCCATCTTTTTGCCTTTCCAAATGTAAGTATTCACAGGCAGTTTGCTTAAAAACTTTAAATGTTGAGATTATCTGTCTCTGAATTGTGACTTTCTGAATCTTTGAGGGATGATTTTATCTAATTTTGTCTCCTCTGAGCTCAGATATCTCATATTTAAATGGTGTAAAGTGCTACACATGTTAAAGACAGAAGAGCAGAGGCACAAGTTGGGAAGTCTGTTTCGATGAAAATCACAGGTAACACAATAAACACAAAAATACCTCATGCTGGGGCTGCTTCTATGCCAGCAAAAGGACTCTGTTCCTCGACCTTAATTCTACAAGAGCAAACAGTCTGCACATAATACTCAGAAAGCAGAGACTAGGGCAGTCAGAACAAACAAGAGTAATTAAATAATCATCCCATTAGCTGAATTATAGTAATGTCTCAGTGATTTGACCCTGCTTTAGAGCATCTTTTCCATTTGCAGAATTGCTAACAAGGGATCAGAACCAGGGCAAAAACGATTTGGTGCCATTCTGGCAAGCTCTGTGCGAGCACTGAGTACCCATTTGGGATGAGGATAGAAGGAAAGGGGAGCTTGAAAATGACGTTGTCAGAAAAGATTCTGGGGCCCTGGATGCCATTAAAGACCTGCCTGTGTTACTCCAGCACCTTGAGGAACTCTTCTGAAGGTTGTGGAACTTCTTCTAGGGAAAACAGGGGCAAGTACAGGAAAAACATGCCCAAAATCCATTTCTGATAGAAAACATTAACTCAGTGTTGAAAGAAGCCATAAAGTTTATCAGATAAATTGTATTTCCAATTATTGACTTTTCCCAAAGAAAAGAAAAAAAGAAAAAATAATATTTTTAAAAACTTATACTAAAGTGAAAGAGTGAGTGTAACAAGAGAGATGAGCAGGCAGAAGGATATTTACCATCTCTCCTTTGTGCTCTCCTCTACATGAACTATCCTCTGATGTATTATCATCATATTATCTTCCATTGTTTTTAATAAGATTTTTTATGAGTAAGAAATTTAGGGCTCTATGCAAACATTCTGTGAAGTTAGCAGCGAAAGAAAGTGCTATTTACACTGAAATTCATGTACTGACTAAAATGCATTAACAATAGCAATTAACAAAAATGGAGATTGTGCTGTTTCCATCTGTATTTTGCAGCACACAGCAAATGATAGTCACTCAGCAATGCATTAATTTGCTAGTGTTCTTCAATTAACATAGAAAAGTTATATTTTTTTTAAAGCTTTTTTTATCAAAAGAGACCAAACCCCCAAATCCTGTCTGGTAAATAATTATAAATTATTAAGAATGATTTCATCAATATGAGAATTCACTCCCAGCCCTAAACAAAGTGTTACTTCCCTGGGAAGGAGCTCCAGAAAGGACTCAAGGGAGGCAGTTTGGATTTCCTGCTGTCCCAGGTGGCACAGAATGGAGCAGTGGTTCGCATCAAGGCCATCAGCAGATTCAGGTGTTCCTCTTGTGCTGTCCTGGTGTACAAACTCTGCCCAGGTACCACTTTTTATTGTGGGACACAGGGAAAGAAAGTGCTGGGGGTGGTGCTGTAAAAACAGAGCTACAGAGAGAGACCTCACCTCCCACCCTCTCTATAAACACAGAGAGATAATACAGAGAAATAAACAGAGAGGTGTGTGATGGGAGCTCTTCTGTGTCCTTTCTCTGCAGCTCAAATATATTCATCAGCTGGACACTTTTTCCCCAAAATTCTGAACTCAGAGAATTGAATTGTACAAATACATTTTGCTCATTTTTAAATGATCAGTTCTGAGGAAAGTGTCTCCAGTTCTACTGAGCAATCAGAGAAATCTCTAACTCTGTGAGGATCACGACAGCTCTCTCCCCAACACTTCACATACCTGCCTCATCTCTACTTTTGGAGCAGCATCCAGGTGGATAAAGGTGTCTTCATCTCCTTCCCAAGTGACCTTGCAGATCCCCTTCCCCTGGCTGAGATCAGTGACTGCAGGCTGGCTTTTGGCAGCTGCAGCCCCAGCAGCAGCTCTTCCCAAGAAAAGGAGCCTGTGGAAGGGAATGAGCCTGGGTCTGGGAGTTTTGAAGACGATCACAACGACATATGGTATCTGAATTTGTGAATATGCCAGAGCCAGGCTGGCATAAGGACACATATCAAAAACTGGAAAAAGCCTCTGTGAAGAACGCACAATTTCATGTTCATTTTTATTATACACTGCCAGTGTTTACACAGAAGCCTCTCATCCACGAAAGTGAAGTTTATTACTATCAATCACAGAAACAGCAAACAAAAATGCTGAGATTTTATGTACAGTGCTTCAGTCTGAGGGTTTTACCACTTCTGTAGGCAGCAATAGTTATTTTACTGGCAAACAGTGTCATTGGGAATATGTTGATCATCTGGCAGTGTTGTAACATTCATAAAATATCAGCATCCCAGCTGAGAAACAGCCACAATAACACAATGGGGCAGATTTTCCTTTGCACTGGGAAAGGAAATTTATGCTGGGGTACCTGTTGCCACTGGGGACAGTAGGTTTTGTGCAGAGCAGGACACTAATCCATGAATGAAATTGCAAGATAACTCTTAGTGCAAAATCCAGCTAGCAGCAAGAACAGATTTTATTCTCCCAGTAACTTTCCCTGGTCAAGAAGGCACTGTGGGTGCAACTGTGCTTAGTGTACTTAGAAAGAATTTGAGAAAATATGAAAAAAAGCTTCAGTTTCTATCTTACTATAATAAACTGCAACGGACAGCAGGTACCCAAACCTCTCACATGGTGAGGGAAGAAAGAGACACCTTCAGAAAGCAGTGGAACCACCTCAGGCCTGAACTGTGCTGTGAAGATGTCTGGCTCCTTCCTTTGTGTCCAAGAGGAGTCTTTGCTGAAACATTCATGGCACTTAGAGAAGGCTGGGCGTTAATCTAGAACTTTGCTCTTGAAATAACTTCATGAACAAGGTCTCACCAATATCCCAGGAAGCGAATGGATCTGACAGCTGGCATCACTTCAGTCTGGGTTTAAAGCAGCATCTGCAAGTGAAGATGCTGGATTAAAATCCTTTCTTTTAAAGGAGCAGTAGGCACAAGGAGCTGAAGACAGCTTCTGCCAGAATGCACTGATCATGGGGCTGCAGGGTAATCTACATTCTTGTTCTCTTTCTCTGGGATTCACTGAGTATTTAATTATTCTGTGTAAAGTGAAATAGCTTCAACAGAATGGGGAGTAAGATGAAAATCAATCCTGTAAGTCCTTAATGGTAGGGTAGGTTCAAATGTTGTCAGGCAGAGGAAGAAACTGAAATTAGAGCTGCTAGGAATGGATCAGTTATCTATCAGCTCAGGTAAGTGGAGAGCTATGGAGAGCTCCTTTTCTGAAAGCACCTATAGGATCCCTTAAAAGAAGGGAACATCTCCTGTCTTTGGGAATTCAGCTCACTTCTGGCTTTCCTTTTGACTATGGGAAAAATGTGTTGGAAATATCTTTTATGACCCATCTGAGTTGGCAAACACAAAATAAGAAGCGCCATACGGTGTCCAGCTAACTCAGATCTGTAACAGATTTCCTTATCTCTGAGGGCAGCTCTGGGGCTGCCAAATGTTTGATAAGCACCAGTGCATTTCCAGGCTGGGCTGCAGAGCTGTGCATGTCACTGTTTGCATTCTCTGCAGGTGATGACCTCTCTTCCAAGAGGCAGTTTTGTGTTTGCCAAGAGCAGGTAGGGACCGGTTGGAGAAGTCTCTACCCAAACCAGCAGCAGTATATCCAGTGCTTCCTTAACCAGTGGATATCCCCACAGAGACAGAGTGAGAAGGGAGAGGAGCAGACTTTCAGCTGCCAGCACGATGGCCAGCAAGGCTGGCTCTTCTCCTGGTCCCTCCTCACAGCTCTGAGAGGGGCCTGCTGGCTCTGCTCTGGAGGTATCTGCTTCCCAATTTATCTGACAGGTGGT